TGGCCGGCTTTCAGCTTGTGGCACCATCCGCTCAGTGGGGGCCTCCACCCACTGGGGCAGGGACTGCAGAGCTGGAGGGTCACACTCGGGCTTTCAGGGGTTCTGTCTGAAGTGCCAGGCTTCTGCTAGTGGCCCATTGCCCAGGACTAGTCAGGGGGCCCAGCTAACAGTACAGGGCTCCACAGATGGGGATGGGGGCACATGGATGTCAAGTGAGCCCTGGATGTCACAGGCTGGCTCGTGGAGGGTTAAGGGGACAAAACGTTGCAAGCCTGGAGGAGGCCCCTGTGAAGGAATCCTGCTCCCTGAAGCCAGACTAGGGGCTCTAAGCATGAGATTTCAAGAGCAATATATTTGATTGGACTTTGGAGAACCTGCTAAGGATAAATGACAAGGTGGAAGTGCATTCATCCATTCACTGATCCCAGCAACCATTAAGCAGTAGTTTTTTGAAACTTTCCATGTGCCAGGCCCTGTGCCAGGTTCTGGGGCTCCAGAGATAAAAGGCCCTGCCCTCAAGTTGCTCATAGCAAGATAAACATCCAAATGCAGTGACGGCAGTTGCATGTCAGAAGGAAGAAGAGTGGGCAGCCAGTGTGGGTGTCCAAGGAGGGACTCCCAGGAGACATGACATCTGAAGTTGCGTCTTAATAAACTGCCATTAGCCAAGAGAAGAAGCCAGAGGTGGGGGAAAGGCGTCCCACCAGCAGAGGTCCAGAGCCACAGGAGGATAGGAAATCCCAGGACAGAGGAAGAAGAAAGATGCAGAGGACCAGGCACTGCTTATACAGGAAGAACCCGAGACTGACACCTATCTGGGAAGGGGAAAGCCAGGCCCAGGGGGTTCTCGCTGTCCTGCCGGGGCCAGGGAAGGCTCACCCACAGGGAGGTGTTCAGGCTTGTGAGCACCTTCTGTAGCCTCCTTTCATCAGGCAGAGCTCAGCTATCGTGGATCTAAAACAAACTTTGCAGGAAAGCTATGAAGAGGGAATATTATAAAAATGCACCAAAGAGAAGACCAAAGTAGGAAAGCAGCAGGCTCAGAAATATCTGTGTGGATTATTCACTATGCAAAACCAGCTACTAGGCAGACTTGCTGGAAAGCTTTGGAGATAATTTATGCACATTTCCTGAAATGGTAGGTAAATTGTATACAAGTGTTCAAATATAAAGAAAAGAGACTATGAAAAAGCGCCTGTGTCATGTGCAGCAGCTCGTGAGGAATGAAAGACTTGGGGCTTTCAGTTACAGGAAGCGAGAGCATTTCTGTTGGCTCAACCCCGGCAGTGCCTAGAGAGAACCTACCTACTCATTGCCCAGCTGGTGGAACATCTGCCCAGAGAGGCTCGAGATGGGGAAGGGTTCAAAAAGGTTGAGTGAACAGGGTCTTTAGCTTAGAAAAGAGATTGGGCCAGGCACTGTGGCTCATGCCTGTAATCCTAGTACTCTGGGAGGCCAAGGCAGGAGAATTGCTTGAGCTCAGGAGTTTGAGACCTGCCTGAGCAAGAGCAAGATCCCATCTCTACTAAAAATAGAAAACTTAGTGGGCGTGGTGGTGAGTACCGGTAGTCCCAGCTACTCGGGAGGCTGAGGCAGGAGGATTGCTTCAGCCCAGGAGTTTGAGGTTGCTGTGAACTATGAGGATACTGTGCACTCTAGCTGGGACAAGTCTTTAGGTGAGACTCTGTCTCAAAAAGAAAAGAAAAATAAAAAGAGAGAAGATGTAATGGCTTGTGATTGTAGGAGTTGAGTTTTTAAAGTGCTATATATGAGGGGTATCTGGAAAGTATCCAGCCGTTGTTAGTAAGTAATTTTCATATTACATGGTAGATATTTTCTGGCAGCACTCATATGAAGAAGATTCAACTTGGAGACATGCTGGCCAGGTAGGCCCTTAGCTCAGCCTCCAGAACTTTGCAGTGATTAAAGTCAGCTAGGACTCTAGCAGGCAATCCTTAAAGGAGGACTGGGTTTCTGGTCTCTGACTTGGCTTTACCCAAGGCTGGAACACCACTTACCAGGGAGCACGGAGGAGGGATCTGGACCCTGGATGGGCCCTGGAGCAGATGGTGGCTGATCTGTGATTCTGTCAGAACTTCCTGGATGTGCCCCTTGGGCAGCTGGACACTTTCATTTCTCAAGAGCAGCTATTTAAGTTATCAGACCACCCTCCAAGAAGGTACAAGAGAGAATCCCTGTGTCCTCAGCTGCACAGGGTACCATGTCTGCCTCTGTTGCCTGGCCTAGGCCATCAGTGCGGCTTATACCACCCTCCTGACTGTGTCCTCTAACTCTGGGGCCAGTGGGGTTTGAAGACATTTATGAAATTTATGTAAGAATCAAGTGCCTAAACTGAGCATATAGGGCTAAGGCATTCCTAGCAAAGCAAAACAATCGATGTGAATACATCCAAATTATGTACATAGCTGAATTGCTGTGTGTACAATAAATGGGCAGAGTAATCTGATTATATCATAAATTAGTGGCCATTGCCACATGCAAATGCGAGTTTTTATGGGTCCTCTGTTTATGTACACATTTTTCCTAGCACATCTGTTGCTGAACCATTTTAAAATTCAACCTTTATAGGCAAGTTGATTTTTTTTAATGTTACACAAAGGATTATATAATGAAGGGTGAGGTTATGTAAGCTGAATTAACTCTCTTATTATTCACATTCATAACAATATTTTAGTTGCAATTGTGCAATCTGGTCTTCTGTTCCTTTGTGATGAGAATAGAATGTTTATAATCTTTATTAATGAAGTAATTAAGAAGTGCCTTTTCATTCAGCTCAAGTGTCATGATTTAGAGTTTGTTGTTGATAATCTCTTGAGCATAAAACACCAAGAGGGGAGTCCTTCCTCAGAAATACACTTCCTTCATGTTCATTAGCTCAACAGATATAAATTGATAACTTAGTTTGTGCAAGGTGTATTGCTGGGCACTGTGAGTTTGTAAAGATGAATCAGGAGTAGTTCTCCTCAAGGAACTTGGTGTCTCGTGGGGAGGTAAGACATTGACTTAGAAACTGGAATGATAGGATGTGGTAGAGCCTTCAGTGGCAAACAGCAATAGCAGACGCCAGCAGGCACCCCTGTGTATCCAAACCTGGTCCAGGGCCCCATGTGCTCTAACCCATCCGTCCTCCTCACACCCTAGAGGAACTCAGAGGAAGGCAGGGTTGCCCTACTTTTGACTTAGGAGGACACAGAGGCTTCTGAAACAGGTCCCCTGCTGCCTGGGGGCTGTTTTTCAGGTGGGCGGCCTGTGGACCTTTCTGTCCAGAACCTCCCTTAGGAAGGCAGAGCCCTTGGGAAGCTTTATGCAGGGGATGTCTTTGCCTGAGTTGCGTTCTAACATCACTCTGGTGGCACAAGGCTAGTGACAGTCCTGATGTAGTTCAAGCAGAGATGCATGACCCTGGGATCACCCTAGAAGCTCAAGAAATGGCAGCCCTTTCCCCTTCCTAAGTATGGTGACAAGAAATTAAACTCCCTGTTCTGCAGCTATCCTGTGGGCAGCAGTGGGGAAAGCCCTTTGCTGGAGGCAACGACAGGCCCTTGCCAGGGCCAAGTTCCTTTGGTTGAAAGAAATCGCCAGAGGGGCATTTCCTTCCCTTATAAGGTGGAGACTATGTTAGGAACAGGCAGGTAGAGATCAGAGGCAGGGCAGAGGGGGCTGTAGATCCCTAGGACACAAGAGAGGAAAAGGAACAGGGAGAGGGAGAGGCCTTGGGCTCTCAGGGCACCTGGGGGGACGGCCCACATGGCCTTCGGGAAGGATGGTGGCCTTCTAACTCCTGGGATCCTACGCAGATTTTAGCACAAGTGCATGGAGCATTTACACAAATGTATACCCTCCTCTTGCACTCGCCACCCCACCAATGGAGGACAAGGACTCAGGTAAGCAAATACACTTCTGTGTTGTTATTCAACTGAAACAGTTGTGCCCACGGGGCTCAGTGTGTCCGAGCGACAGTGGGCTCTGTGGCTCCTCCAGGGTCTCGTCAGTGAGAGAACAGCGCGGAGGGACGCTCTGCTTCACAAAGGAACACGCTTGTCCTTCTGCTCAGTCAGACAAGTACCCAAACAGCATCCTGATGGAAGAATTATGCTCACAAAATTGTTTAAATATAGTCTCATTCCTTGGAACTCTGAGTTCATCTGGGGAAAATCACATCTACAAGTGCCATTTTTATCGATCAGATGAGGACCACAATCTTTCTGTAAAAATAAATGGTTTTTTTCTTTAAAGAAAATTGGCAATTTGCCTTAAAATTTTTATTGAAGTAATTCTATTCTATTTGAATAACGTTGGGAGATAAAAACCCTCCATTATGCCTTTTTTAATGAGTTATAATTGAGAAAAATCTCAATAATAGAAAACGACATAAAAGCCACATAGCATAATTCTTATCTTGTTTTCCTCGCTGGTCTCTCTCATTGGCTGTATGTAATTGGCATCTCTTCAAGGAGAAAATGGAAATTTTGCCATCTTGAATCAAGTAGCATTCATTTATTTGAGTTTTAAGATTGAATATGCTTTTGAAGAATTTTCTTCTAAACCTTAGCATAGTTCCTTTTACATGTGGGTGCTCATAAAAAAAAAAAACTGTTGAATATGTGGAGGGGTTGATTTTAATTTTCTCTACCCACAACTGCGTTTCTACAGAATGACAGGGGACTCTCTCTGTGGGTGCTTTCTCGGGCAGGCCCTGCATGAGAGGATCATCCTGTTGCTTAGAGCAATGGTTTTCAAACTCGGATGCGCCCGTGAGTCACATAGGGATCAAATGCAGGCCAGATCCAGTCAGGGTGAGCCCCAAGGGTGTGCCGTCCGTACTATCCCAGGGAGGTGGTGCTGCTGGGCTGCAGTGCACAGTCAGTGGAGAAGAACCCAGTCTGAGCTCCTCACAGATGGAGCAGAAACTTCCAGAACCCTGAGCCCCAGCACCTTCATGGCTACTGATAAGAGCTTTTTGTTTTTGTTCATTTAAGCTATGACACCGAGGGAAAAGGGCACATTACTTACCAAGAGTTTTTACAGAAATTGGGTATTAACTATTCCCCAACTGTACATCGGCCCTATGCAGAGGACTATTTCAACTTCATGGGTCATTTCACGAAGCCACAGCAGATACAAGACGAGATCAAGGAGCTACAGCAGAACACGGAGAAGGCCGTGCCGGCCAGGTGAGTTTAGAAGCCTTGTGGGACTGTCACGTGGACACTCTGTTCCACATTTACCCTTCCAGTGACAATTGTTTTAAAATGGAACTTTCCGGTGCCAGCGAAGTTGCAGTGAAATTGTTATACTTGTTCACTGCTGTAGATTCTAGACATTAGTGCCAAGTCAAATGGTAGCTAAAAAGCTGTAAGCCTATTCCACCTTAGCCAGTCACAATCTCATATCATTCTCTCATATTTACAGGTCACCCTTGCAAATCATCCTTTTTAGTTGTGTATGGCACATTGCCTGGCCCCTCACTTGGCCCACCTAGAATACAGGCCCAACAGGGATGTCTGCCCCTTTACTCAGTGTCTGACGCCTAATTGGCACCCAGCAAATATGTGTTGAATAAATGAATGAATGAATGAATGAATGAATGAATGAATGAATGAATGAACGAACGAACGAACTGACAAATTCTTTAACTCACCACTTCTACTTTGAGGACTTTATCCCAAAAAATAATTCAGAAGAGGCCAATGGTTTAGTGATTGGAAGGTACGACTTGTAGTGTGTTTTTAACAACAAAAACAGCAAAAGGAATATCTTCCAATCCCAAATTGGAGCACTAAAAAGAATATGAATAGTATATACCTATTGAAATTATCGTGGGAGAACATGGAAAATGTCTGTGATAAAGGGCTCACAGGCAGTGAAATTCTGAGCAGTATGTGTCCCGTGATTGGAATGACGTCTGATGTGTGTGCCTGTGCACAAAGACCAGAAGATGCTGTGCAGAAAGTAATGTATTGTATTTGGATGGCAGGATTGTACATGATTGTTTTCAGTTTTTCTTGATTGATATTTAATAGTTGTACATATCTAGGGGACACGTGATATTTTGATACATGTATACAATGTGTAATGATCACATTAGGGTAACTGAGATAATTTATCACCTCAAACATTTATCTTTTCTTTGTATTGATAGTGCTGCAAATCTTCTGGTCTAGCTATTTTGAAATAGACAATAAATTATTAACTATAATTTCCCCACTTTACTATAAAAATACTAGAACTTGTTCCCTCCATCTAAGTGTATTTGTATACCCCTTAACCAACTTCTCTTCATCTCTCCCCCCCCACTTCCTTTCCCAGCCTTTGATAACCACCATTCTACTCTCTACCTCTATGAATTCCATTTTTTTTTAGCTCCCACATATGAGTGAAAACATGTGATATGGGTCTTTCTGTGCCTGGCTTATTTCATTTAACATAATGACCTATAGTTACATCCATGTTGCTGCTAATGACAAGATTTCATTCTTTTTATGGCTGAATAATATTTTACTGTATATATGAGACGTATTTTCTTTATCTATTTATCCTTCGGTAGACACTTAGGTTGATTCCATATCTTAGCTATTGTCAATTGTGCTGTAATAAACACAAGAGTGCAGATACCACTTTGATATATCCTTCCTTTCTTTTGGATATATACCCAATAGTGGGATTGCTAGATCATATAGTTCTATTTTAGTTTTTTGAGGAACCTCCATACTGTTTTCCATAGTGGCTGTGCTAAATGATACTCCTACCAAGAATGTACAAATATTCCCCTTTCTCTGCATCCTCACTGGTATTTGTTAATTTTGTCTTTTTGATGACAGCCATTCTGACTGAGGTAAGATGATATCTCATTGTGGTTTGGATTTGCATTCCCGTGATGTTGAGCATTTTTTCATATACCTCTTGGCCATTTGTATGTCTTCTTTTGAGAAGTGTATATTCAGGTCTTTGTCCATTTTAAAATTGGATTATTTGGTTTTTGCTATTGAGTTGTTTGAGTTCCTTATATATTCTGGTTATTAACCTTTGTTAGATGGATAGCTTGTAAATATTTTCTCCCATTTAGTAAGTTATCTTTTCACTTTGTTAATTGTTCCCTTTGCTGTGCAGAAGCTTTTTTGCTTGATGTAATCCCATTTGTTTATTTTTGCTTTTCTTGCCTATGCTTTTGCGGACTTACCCAAAAAATCCTTTGCCCAGACCAATGTCCTGTAGTGTTTCCCCAATGTTTTCTTCTAATAGTTTCATAGTGTCAGGTCCTATAAGTCTTTAATTCATTTTGAGTTGATTTTCATACATGGTGAAAGATGAGGATCTAGTTTTATTTTCCTGTATATGGATATCTAGTTTTTCCAGTACCATTTATTAAAAAAAAAAATGTCCTTTCCCTATTCTTGGTGCCTTGGTGCCTTTGTCAAAAATGAGTTGACTGTAAGTGCATGGATTTATTTCTGAGTTCTCTATTCTGTTCCATTGATCTATCTATTCCATTGGTACTGTTTTTATGCCAATAGCATGCTGTTTTGATTACTATAGCTTTGTAGTATAATTTGAAAGCAGGTAGTGTAATACCTCCAACTTTGTTCTTTTTGTTTAGGATTGCTTTGGATATTGGGGTCTTTTGTGGTTCCATACAAAATTTTAGGATTTCTTTTTTCTATTTCTGTGAAGAATGTCATTTGTATTTAGGTAGGCATTGCATTGAATCTGTAGATCACTTTGAGTAGTACAGCATAGATATTTTAACAATATTAATTCTTCCAATCCATGAGCATGGGATATTTTTCCAATTTTTGTGTTTTCTTTAGTTTCTTTTATTGGTGCTTTACAGTTGTCCCTGTAGAGATCTTTCACTTTTGGGGTTAAATTTCTTCCTAGCTTCCTTGTGTGTGTAGATATTTTAAATGAGTTTGCTTTCTTGATTTCTTTTTAAGATTGATCACTTGCAGCATGTAGAAACACTCCTGATTTTTGTATGTTGACTTTATGTCCTGCAACTTTACTGAACTCATTTGTCAGTTCTAAGAGGTTTTTTTGGTGGAATTTTTAGGATTTTTAAAATATAAGATCATGTTATCTGCAAACAAAGATAATTTGCCTTCTTTCTTTCCAGTGGATGCCCTTCATTTCTTTCTCTTGCCTAATTGCTCTGGCTGGGACTTCCAATAACACGTTGAATAGAATGGTAAAAAGTGGGCATCCTGTATTGTTCCAGATCTCAGTGGAAAGGCTTTCAAATTTTCTCCATTCAGTATGATATTAGCTATGGGTTTGTCATATATGGCCTTTATCATGTTGAGATATGTTCCTTCTCTACCCAAGTTGTTAAGAGTTTTTATCATGAAAGAATGTTGAATTTCATTGAATGCTTTTTTAGCATCTATTGAAATGATCATATAGTTTTTGCCCCTAATTCTGTTGATGTGTGTGTTGTATTACATTGATTAATTTGTATATGTTGAACCATCCTTGCATCCCAGGGAAGAATCCCACTTGATCATAGTGAATGATCTTTTTAATCTGTTGTTGAATTTGGTTTGCTAGTATCTTGTTGAGGATTTTTGCATCTGTGTTCTTCAGGGATATTGGCCTGTAGATTTCTTTTTTTGTTGTGTCCTTGTCTGGTTTTGGTATCAGTGTAATGCTGGCCTTGTAGAATGAGTTTGAAAGTATTCTCTCTCCTTCAATTTTTTGAAATAGTTAAATAGAATTAGTATTAGTTCTTTTTAAATGTTTGGTAGAATTCAGCAGTGAATCTGTTAGGTCCTGGGCTTTTGGGGACTTTTTATTACTGCTTCAATCTCATCACTCATTTTTGGTTTGTTCAGGTTTTCTGTTTCTTCATATTTTAATCTTGATATGTTGTATACGCCCCCCAATTTTTCCATTTCTTTTAGGGTATCCAATTAGTTGGCATATAGTTGTTCATAGTAGTCTCTAAAGATCTTTTGTATTTCTGGGGTCGCAGTTGTAATGTTTCCTTTTTCATCTCTGATTTTATTTATGCATATTTTATGTCTTTTGTTCTTAGCCTAGCTAAAGGTTTGTCAATTTTGTTTATCTTTTTAAAAAACAACTTTTCATTTCTCTCTTAGTACTGCTTTTGTTGTATCCCATAGTTTTTGGTATATTGTATTTCCATTTTTGTCTATTTCAAGAAAGTTTTAAATTTCCTTTTTAATTTCTTCATTGACCCATTTGGTCATGCAGGAACATGTTAATTTCCATGTATTTGTACAGTTTCCAAAATTCCTCTTGTTGATTTCTATTTTTATTCTGTTGTGATCAGAAGAGATACTTGATATGATTTTGACTTTTTTTGATTTTTTGAGATTTGTTTTGTGGCCTAACCTAACATGTATTCTGGAAATATTCTCTGTGCTGATGAGAAGAATATATATTCTGCAGCAGTTGAATAAAATATTCTGTAAATGTCTGCTAGGTCTATTTGGTCTAGAGTTTAGTTTTAACTTCAATGTTTCTTTGCTGATTTTCTGCCTTAATGATCTTTCCATTGCCCAAAGCTGGGTGTTGAAGTTACCTACTATTATTGTATTGCAGACTATTTCTCCCTGTAGATCTATTAATATTTGCTTTATAGATTTTGGTGCTCCAGGGTTAGGTGGATATACATTTACTATTGCTATATCCTCTTGTTGAATTGACCCCTTTATCATTATACAATGGCCTTCTTTGTTTCTATAGTTTTTGACTTAAAGTCTATATTATATAAGTATAGCTACTCCAGCTGGGTTTTTTTGTTATCATTTTCATTTGTGTGGAATATCTTTTTCTATCCCTTCACTTTCAGTCTGTGTGTGTCTTTATAGAGGAAGTGAGTTTCTTGTAGGCAGCATATAGGTAGGTCTTGTTTTAAAATCCATTTGGCCACTCTGAATTTCAAATTTTACTTTCAAATTTTAAAACTAGTTGCTCATGTCATATTTTTAACTTTTATACCATAGGAAAAAATTGGGCTGTGTATAATGTGGCCATATAGCAATAAGACAGATTTTCTTGGTAAATAGACATTAGTCCCAATCCTTGTTGGTCACTTATCCATACTTCCCATGTGTGTGGCTCTGTCCTGCTGCTCTATGTCTCTGCCTTAGATCTGTCTTGCTCTTACCTGTTTGTGCATCTGACTCCTGACTGTCATTTCAAAAGGCAGGATTCAGCTCTTTATGCCCATCACTTCACATACCAACTGAACAAATGAATGAGTTGTTGCTAAATAATCCACACAGGAAAAAAGAATGCCAAGGACACAGGAATAAAAAGTAATAGCTAAATGGGATTTAAGAGAAAATCAGTTTGAACACACCTCTGAATTATGTCTAAGTTACTGAGTTATGAAGCCTGAAGGCAGAGAATTGAGTTTGTAAAATTCAAAGTAAAATGTGCACAAGATTGGTATAAATCAAATATGCCATAAAGCTAATGAAAATGTGGAATTTATCTTTACCAGACATGGTCGGCCTCATTACCCACTCGTGTCTTCTCATCTCTCCTGCCACTTGTGAGTAATGAGGCTCTAGGAGAGACTGCATATCCTGGGTGCTCACAGCACACGTTTTCTCTGCCTGTGTCTCTGTGCTGTGTGGAGCATGGGTCTGTAGCTGAAAGAACTGTGCTGTGAGACAATGCATTTCAGATCACCAAGCTCAGTTAACTGATTCACTCTCACCATTCCTCTTTGCCATGCCCCTACTCTGTTAGTAAAGAAGACAAATGCATGACCAACTTCTGTTTTCTCAAAAATATCAGCTTGCAAAAATTTCCAAGTAACCTTGCCCTTCAGCATGTTTTTAAATTTCACCGTCAGCAGGTCTTTCTGATGAGCCCTAAGAGTCAATGTTTCTAGGATTTTTTTTTTTAACCTTCTCATTTATACTCAGACTCTGTTCAGATTGATAGACGGGAGTCATGTTCAATTAAAATGACCAAAAGTTTGTATTTTCCTCTTAAATTTAAGAGAATTAATTTTGTTTTGGGTGTCCTAAATACATTTTATAGGTTTCAGAAAAATCCTGTTTTTAAACTTACATTTATTTTCCATGCCTTGCTCTTTTTTGCCTGAGCTTCAGAATCAGAATAGCAACAGTAAATGAGCCACATAACAGGGGCCCATTCTAGAATGCAAATTGAGAGGCAGCAGGTTTTCAGCAGCTCTGGCCAGGGAGGCTGCAGGTGTGAGGTGTCCATGGCTGTCCCCCTGGCCATGACAGTGCCCCCTTCAGCCTTTTGTCTCATTGTCCAGACCAGGAACCAGACATGGACGCAGAGCAGCTTTGCCACCGAGTGTCGGCTGACACTGTTTTCTGTTTGGCAGTGTGCTGTGATCTGCGCTCTAAACCCTCATTTACTCTGCACATGTTTACTCTGCAAGGGAAATAATTACTGCCTAGAAACTGGTCCAAGAAATACTGAATGCCTCAATTTTCTAAAAATATGTATCTCAAAAAATGTTTTGATTTTTTTATACCTCCATTTGCTTTCATTTTGAAGGATTAAGTGGAATATAATAGTTGTGATGACGAGTAATCATTTTGTAACATGGGACTGAATTCAATGTACACCTGTAAAGGAATCCAAAATGTTGCTGCTGTTGGTATACACTCATGGAGCAGTTAATGTGGCTTATTTGTATTAAGTGCTCAAATGTCATGTGAGCCAATTCTAAACTGGAGGCCAGCAAGAGAAGGGAATAGATCCTCCAGGTAACTTTGAAGTCAATGTCACTTTCCTATCACCCTGGACATTCCCACTGAATTTCACCGCTCCTATATTTCTGACTTTTCTGTTCCTATGGATTTTTTTTCCAGGCATGCTCAAGGAACTGTCCTCTCCCACAAAAACATATCTGAGATGGTAGACAATTACCACCAAAGATTTCATTTTTTTTTTTTTTTTTTGACAGAGTCTCGCTTGTTGCCCAGGCTAGAGTGAGTGCCGTGGCATCAGCCTAGCTCACAGCAACCTCAAACTCCTGGGCTCAAGTAATCCTTCTGCCTCAGCCTCCCGAGTAGCTGGGACTACAGGCATGTTCCACCATGCCCGGCTAATTTATATATATATATATTAGTTGGCCAATTAATTTCTTTCTATTTATAGTAGAGACGGGGTCTTGCTCTTGCTCAGGCTGGTTTCGAACTCTTGACCTCGAGCAATCCGCCCGCCTCGGCCTCCCAGAGAGCTAGGATTACAGGCGTGAGCCACCGCGCCCGGCCCAAAGATTTCATTTTTAGAATTTATAGCACATTCTTTTCCCTGAGGAATAGCCCCAAAGCCAAGATCAAGTCCGAGCACATCAGACAAGCATATTTTTCAGTTTGTTAGAAAGAGCTTTTCAGAGACCTGGGTGAGCTGAAATTATGGAATTTATAATCACTCTACCATAGGTCAAGTGCAAGATTGTTTATTCTTAAAGATTTCCAAACTTCTTTAACCCCTTACCAATATTTTTTTTTAAGTCAGAGAAGAATTTTCCAGAACTGAAAAACTTAATCATAGAGACTTCAGTACATTCTGTAAGAAAATCAACCCTGGAGCTGGGAACTACAATAGGATACCGTCTCCCTCGCCGTGAGGGAAAGGCCTGGGCTTGTCCTGACTCTGCCCTTGGGTTCGACACTGTTCTGTTCCTTGTCTGTACAATGGGGACGATAGGACCCACCCCTCGCAGGGTTGTCAAGAAGATCAAATGTGAGATTGCACATGAGGAAGACAACACGGCTCCTGCTTTGTCTGCTGATGCACACAAAATAGTGAAATAGTGGCTGCATTCTTAATAAAAATACCTGACTAAATGAGGAGTCACTGGACACCTGTGCCTCCCCCACTCCTCCTCAGGGCCTGGCACTGCCATTCCCTGTGTCCTCAGCTGACTCTTTCACTGCCTAGTCCCTGCTGGAGTGTCACACTCCCAATGAGGCTTGTCTGCACCTCCCTACTTACACTTGCACCCTACTACCACTGTGGGTGTCCTCAGTCCCCCTAACTGGCTCTTGTTCTTGCCTGCTAACCTGTCATCCAACCGTGCAGTGTCCTCGTTCTTCTGTTCATTGTCAATCTTGCCCCCACTGGAATGGAGATTCTTCTAGGGATGCCTGTTTGATCCACTGCGTGTGTTCCAACCCCTAGAGCAACACATGGCACATAGTAGGTGCTCAACAAGTATTTATTGAGAATGAATGTGTATTTCACATGTCTATGTAATATCACTATATTTTTAAAACTCTTGGTTCCATTTTTGAAGTACCAATTCTAGTAAAAAGACAAGATTGTAATTTCTCTAATATAGTTTTGCTAATGATAGTAATAATAAAGTGATAATGATGTAGATTTATAATTTTTTCTGGGATACCTTTGAATGTAAATGTTACACTGAAGCTATAAAACATCTTCAAAATTAGTTCTTAGATGAACCATCAAATCATCACATTAGAATGATCATGAAATGTTTACTTTAAAGAAATTATTTGTTTTGATGATTTTAGGATATGTCTGATATATCTTCTTTTTCAGGGATAAGCTTATGGACCATTATCAAGATATTAGCAAAGCACTCACCAAAATTGATAAATCTAAAAATAGCTACCTATCGATATGCAAGCTACAGAAAGTGCTGCAAGAATGTGGTTGTTCTCTTACAGAAGAGGAGCTGATCGATCTTCTAAGCAGGTCTCTTGACTAGCTTAAATATGTTTCTCACTGTACTAAAAACATGCTACCAAGTTGCTTTTATTTCTTCTGTATGTCCATTCAAGCAAATGTCCTTTTGACATTAAAATAGCCTCATATTCCTTTTGGCTGGGCTACGTTAGAATGGGTTTGAGTGAACCAAAAGCAAAAAGAGAAAGCAATTTGACAAATGCATAACTTCCTGATGTGTGTTAGCAGCAGCATCATTTTAAAAAATGTTTTTATTTTGGCCAAGTTATTCAGGCACTTAGACAGGAGTCAAATGGTTCTACAAGGCTCATTACTGGAAACAGCTGCCCCTTGGCCCTGCCATGGCCCTTATCCCCCTCCCTAGAGTCAACAACCTTCAACACTTTGGGCTGATGTCTTCTGGTACCAAATGTCCCTCTTTCTAAATGACAAGCATGTATTGCTCCTTGTTGATTTTTCACTTTTAGGCAGTGTCTATTGACATCCTACCAGGAAGATGTGGGTTTAACTCTTCCACTCATCACATGCCACCACCCCAGGGAAACAACCCAAAACTTCTCTCCATGTACTCACCATGCCACTGTGTCACATTTAGGGTTAGATCCACATTCCGGACCTACACTGCCATGACTAGCTGATTGCTTTTCTTCCCTGCATAGCACTTTTCCCCTGAAGTTAAATTATCTTATTTTTTACTGTTGTTCATTTAGTTTCCTTTGTACTCATTATCACTAATTAAATCCCCAACTCATCCCTAATTGTGAAATCTCTTTCCAGTGTGTTCAGACACATCAGCTGATTTTGCAGCTTCATCTTCTGATAAAAATGCCCCATTCATGTTCTTCAATTCTCAGAAATTTTCTTGATTTATTTTATTAAGAGGTTCCTCTCCTGTTCTTTCTGAAACTCCTATTGTTATTGAATATTAAACTGCCTAGATTGTTCTCTTACATATTTTTACATCTTTCTCTTCTATTTTTATATCTTTTTCTTTTTGTTCCACTTTCTCATAGATTTCCTCAGTTTTAGCAGTATACAGGTTTCCCTCTTTCCCACATTCCCTCTGTGGGCCTTTTAAGAGGTGATTTCTTGGATTCTCATACATTCCTTCATACTCATCTGTAGGGACACCAGCACCTGTTGTCTTCTTTCACCTTCTCTTAGTCCTTAGGGGGATTTTGCCAGTGGTCCTCAAACTCCAGCTAGCACCAGAATTATAGGGAGGCTTGTTAAAACTCAGTTATGGGCCCCTCCCCCAAAGCTTCTGACTCAGTAAGTCTGAGAGTTGGCATTTCTAACAAGGGCTCAGGTGATGCTGTTGTGCTAAGGCACCTCACTTTGAGAACCACTGCCTTCTGCCCTTTTAAAACTCCCTTTCCTGCCATTTTATAACAGAAAAGTTGAGTGGGAGCAGAACTAGTTTTGTGTGTTCAAGCCACTTTATTTAACTGCAAGTCTTATTCCACACTGAAATAACTTAGAGTTAATTGCCTGCTCTGACTCCTTCATATGCATTTCTGTCTTGCAGTGTAATTTAGCTGCACTGTCTGAATGCACAAATCTTATGTCTCCCCCCACCCCGCACCTTTTAGGGGACAATATTAGCAGCCCCACACACACACCTTTTAAAACAATTTTTCTTGCTTGCTCTAGAGTTTGCAGTATACATTCACAGCTAGCCTAAGCCCATTTGCAAATAATAGGATGCATCTTCACAGGACTACAGGAACCTTGTAACAGAGTATTCCTAATCCTTCCCTCCTGTACCTAATAACGTGGCTGTCATTCGCTCACCCATGTGCTATAATCATCCAATACATTGTTATTATTACAACTTTGATCAGCTGAAAATAAGAATATAAGATTCTCTTTTACCTTTATTTATTCCATCTCTGACACCCTTTCTTTATGCAGATCTATATGATTTTCCTTCTCTCTGAACAATGACTTTTTGCATTTCTTGAAGGGCAGGGCTGCTGGTGATAAAATCTCTCAGTTTTTGTTTGTCTGAGAAAGCCTTTATTTCCACTTCATTTTAGAAGGATAATTTCGCTGGATATAGCATCTTGGGCTGGTGGGTTTGTTTTTTTTCTTTCAATGCTTTAAAATTTCAGTCCATTCCCTTCTTGCATGGTTTCTGGCAAGAAGTCTGATGTAATTCTTATCTTTGTTCCTTTATAGCGAAGTTTTTTTTACCCCAAGATTTTCTGACTTCTTTCAAGATTTTCTCTTTGTCTTTAGTTTTTTTCCTCCAGTTTGCATATAATTTGCGCAGGTGTAGATTTTTTGGTATTTATCCTGCTCGGTGTTCTGTGAACTTCCTGGAGCTGTGATTTGGTGTCTACACTTAATTTTGGAAACATCTCAGCCATTATTATTTTAAATATTTTTTCAGCTCCTTTTTTTTTTCTCCTTCTGGTATTCCAATTATGCAGATTTTTGACATTTTGAAATTATCTCACAGTTCTTGGATATTCTGCCAAGAATATCCAATAGTGGGGGGATTCCCCCCCACACACTATTTATTCTCTTTGCATTTCAGTCTGAAAAGTTTCTGCTGACACACTTCAAGCTCACTGATTCCCTCCTTCACCACGTCCGGTCTCCTGATGAGCCCTTCAGAGTCAGTCTTCATTTCTGTTATAGCGTTTTTTGATTTCTAGCATTTCCTTTTGATTCTTTCTTAATGTTTCCACCTCTCTGCTTACATTGCCCATTTGTTCTTGAATGTTGTCTACTTTTTCCATTAGAGCACTTTACATGTTAACTATAATTATTTTAAATCCCCTATCTGATCATTTCACAATCTGTGTCTTATTCACGTCTGCTTCCAGTCTGCTTGTTTGGTCTCTTTAGACTGTGTCTTTTCTTGCCTTTTTACATGCATTGTAGTTTTTTTATTAATATTGTAGAAAGTCAGATAGGAACTTAGGTAAACAGGCCTTTATTGTGAGATTTTATGATAATTTGGCGAGCAGTTGGGCTGTGGCTAGTGTTTGCCGTACCTGTCAGTGTCGGTCTCTTCCAGTATCCTTGTTTTTGCCTCTCCCGTTTTCTTGGGTTTCCCTGGGAACTCCTTCTTAAATAGAGTCTGTGTTTTGCAGCTCTTTCCATTGTAATCCATTGTTATTGTGTTGGAGCTTGGTAAAGGTAGTGGTAAGGTCTTGTAATTTAATCTCAGTCTTTTAGTGGGCTGAGTTGCTGGGCTACAACCTTTAGAAATGTTTCTTAGCCTTTTTTTTCCTCCCTCAAGTAATACAGGAAGGCTAGAGGGGGCTGGAGTTGGCTAACTTCCCTTCCCCCAAAGCTGAGATAGGCTCTGGTAAAGTCTTTTCCCTTGGAAAGTCATTGTGGAGAAGACCCCGGACATATTTTACAAGGATTGCTCATCCCCTTCCCCTGCCAGCACCACAAGGGGACCTTTCCCAGATCTTCACTGTGGGATTCCTGCTGGTAAAGCCCATGGAAGTGGGCGGGGATGGCTAAGAGTAGGCCTGGAGCTTCCTGCCCTCACCGTAATCCACTAGTGGCCTTCACTGTCAGCATTAGCATGTGGGTGCTCCTGCCAGCCTGGGGCTACAAGGCTTTGCTCTAGGAAAACAGGTCCCAGCTGTCTCTCCAGGTTTCAGGGTGACATTTTGCCCTGTGACCTCGATTCTCTGATGGGCCCAAGAAAAGCCACTGGTATTCAGTTTATTCAGCTTGTTTCTTGTTATAAGGATGAGAGCGACACTTCTGAGCTCTGCATGTGCCAGAGCTCCCCTCCTCCTTCCACCACTTTCTCTTCCTTCCATGTCCCATCTTTTGGCAGCTATACTTTAATTTGTACTCTGGAAAAAGTAGTTAAATTTAATCTTCTATCCTGTAGCTGCAACCAAGTCCTTCCTGCTTAGTCCATAGGTTGCTTCTGAAACTTGAAAATCATTCAACATTATTTCATTATTATAACTATTTAAGTATTGTTCAGTGTCAACAAGTAATGAATGAAAATTAGCTTTTTTTCCCCCTCAGAAGCACTATCCCTGAGCCTCTGGCCTTAATATCAAATAGATTCTCTTTGATAGATTCCATCAGTTGCTGAAAATCATAACACATTTGTCTTAGTCTATTCAGGCTGCTATAACAAAATACCATAAACTGGGTGGCTTGTTAATAGCAGAAATTTATTTCTCACAGTTCTGGAGGCTGAGAAGTCCAATACCAGGGCGCTGTCAGATTCAGCATCTGATAAAGTCCCACTTCCTGGTTCATAGATGTCCATCTTTTCAATGTAACCTCACAGGGCAGAAGGGATGAGGGTCTCTCTGGGGCTTTTTTTAGAAGGGAATTAGGTCCATTCATGAGGCCTCTGCCCTCATGACCTAATCACCTCCCAAAGGCCCCCACCTATTAACACCATCACCTTGGGGGCTAGGATTTCAATATTTGAATTTTGAGGGGACACAAACATTCATACCATAGCAACATGTTAAATTTGCTTAATATTTATACTTCAATTATATTGTATAGGTTATGTGTTTTCTGGAGTTTTTAATATACTCTTTGTTTTTCTTGTATTATTTTCCTTTATTTTACCTTGTCAAATAAAGACAAATTCATACTCAAGTAAAAGAGACTCCATTTGAAAAGACTACTACAATATTGTAATCAGGAGAGGAGGATTCTTACAATAGGAAGAATGCTCCAACCATGAAATTTGTAAGCATCTCAATGGTCAAGAAGAAAAGGGCTTTTCTTTGATAGGGAAGAGTGAACAAGGTAGAAAGCATCTAGCGTGGAGAGTGAGATGAGTGGATCGTGTGATCAGACAGATGGGGCAAGAAATGCCTGTCCTTGTGGTCAGTCTCGGGAGGCGCCATTACGGAGGGGCTATTCCCCATTCCCACACTGGCTCCCACCGAGGTGGGCCAAAGTTCAGGGATCTGGGGAAGGAAAGAAGCTTAGCTAAACTGTGGTCAGGTTAGCAGGTATTTTGTCCAGATTAGTCAGCGGGTACAAACGGTTCAGCTAATCATTAATGAAAATGGGAAGGGGAATTTGGAAGGTCTGCATCTGAGTTGTCAGAGGTAAACCTGGGAGCATCCTTGAGTCTTTTCTAAGTAGCAGAAAAGGTGGTTCTTTGTAGTAGCCCTTTCCAAGGTCATACAGTGTGGGGTGATTTCTTTAGCCATTGCTGTTTTCTAGGAGAACAGGGCTCAGGTAAAATTCGACTCTGGCAACACTGCAAGTTTCCCCAGCATTCTATCCCACTTTCTGTTCTCTTTTTTCCCCTGGTACCTCCATCCCAGAGCCTGGCCCAGGGCATCCTGGATTGCCTCCACTGTTCTCCTGGGTTGGAGCCCCTGTTTCCTACATCCCACATCTCTTTATTTCTTGACTTACATTCTTCTTTTGCTGGAGTACTCCCTGAAGTAATTTCCTAAGAAAGGATGGACAGCAAGTAAATTTTCTGAGTTCTTGTTGATCTAAAATCTTTAAAAATTCTCCCCACACAGCTTATCTGAGCATAGAATCCTGAGAGTGAAAATCATTTTCCCTTAAAATTTTGAAGGCATTGCTCCATTGTGTTTGAGCTGTGAGAAGTCCAGAGCATGTGTGCACATGTATGTGTGTATAAAGAAAGGGGGGCATTCATCCTTAAATGCCTGTATGTTTTTTTCTTCCTTAAACAGGATCTCCTCTCACTGAATCTATTGCCAGCTGAATAGGAATTCATGTGCATTCAATGAATAAATCATGGAAAAATAGCAGCAGATAACTAAATCATTATAAGAGAGTCTTGTTAAAACATAGTTAGACTTGATACTTTTATAAACAACAACAAAAGGATTGTGGAATTTCTGTAGCCCACCTTTCAATGGGGGTGATCAACTTTTTTATGCATTGAAACCTTAATAAGGATCCATTGCTCAGTTGCTTGTTTCTTCTCAAAGACCTCTTGATGATAAACATCTCTGTTATTTGTAATTATATGTAGATTATTCTTTTCTAGATCCAAAATAGACTTTTCTAAATACTACTGAGGAGATTAGCATATGCATTTGATTTTATTACTACATCTTAATACCACGTTGGCAATTTAGCCTGCTGATGAAATAGTGTTAATTGTCCTTTTCCTTCGTGTCTCCATCATGCGAGCCGACCCGGCGCGGGGCCTATGCAAGGCTGCTCTGCAGCTGTGGGTTGGAAAAGCTCAGCTCTTGGCTCGTCTTCTTTACAAGCAGTATCTGAGTCACTGGAAACTTCTCTCTCCGGCTTACCAACATTCCAAGCTGTTCCACTTGGACCCTTGCACCCCGTCCTACTAAAAGAAAGTTCAGGTGTTCGAGTGCCAGGGGACTCCCCAGAGAACTGAAGTCACAGCAGTGTGAACTTTGAATGCAATTAAACTTTATTCTGAATTATTTTACATCTTTAATAGGTATATTCTGTGTTCTATGAAACTTTGTGATTTTATCCCACAATCTGGTCTTTCAGAATTTAGAGGTAAGTTCTTCTGTGTTGGATCGAGAACATGAAGGAACCTCTATTTCCACATGGATGCCCTTTTTGAGATATATATGCAGGTGAAATTTTTATTTGAGAACTTTTTATTTGCAACATATCTTCTGAGTGCTTTTGGCTTGACCACTTCAGTTCGGCCACTCTTGAAAAAGAACTTGACATGTATTTTATTCAGTTCCTTTTCTCCTTTTTACAGTCTTTTGACATCTTCCCCTTCTTTTCAAGTTCCACTGCTACTTCTAAGTCCAGCCCTACAGTTCTGGCCTGGATGGCCCCGGGAGCCTCCTGTCCAGACTACTGGACCTAACTGCCCGCCACCGCACAGGCTGGCTTCAGATTCATCTCCCCATCATGCTGCTCTGGAGGTGCCACATCTCCATCCAAGCACCATCATCTGCCCCGGTCCTAGGACCAGATTCTTTAGCTGGAGCCCCCTTACCGTCTTCTGCTCTGGCAAGCCACGAGCCCTGTTGTACAGGGCAGGACACCCGTGGCCCCACAGCTGGCAATAGCCATACTCTCATAGCCCTTCCTTTATTTCCCTGTGTGGCAGTATTTGTATGCACCTGCCTATGAGCAGAGCTAATTGGCATGTACACACCTACGGGGCAGGGAACAGTGTCTCAAAATTATTCATTTTCCCCACACTGTTCTATGTTCAGCAACTGTTTGTTGAACGAATAAGTGGTAGGATGGGTTTTAATACATTCTTCTCTTTCTTTGGGGACAAGTTGGGAAATCAGCTGGCATGACAATTCTGTCAGTTACGCTGACTTCTTGGAAGCATTGGAGAACAGCATGCCAGCAAGAGCTCAGCCAAGAGAGGAAGAGGAGAGCCCACCAATCAACTTTTCCACGCTGACCCCAGAGGAGCTTGTGAAGAACATCCAGGAAGTGGTTGAGTTTTCCCAACCCGATCTGTTAAAGGTATGGCAGACTGAAAACGTGCTTTATTGTGAAAACTCATCTCAACTCTGGCAAATGCCTTTCAGCCATCCCCCTCTTCCAGGACCCTGCCCACCTCTTTCTATTCTCTTTGGCGGGTCTAGTTCATCAAGAGCAGATTGTTTATTTGGGCAAATGTGTATCTATTTTTGCCCTACAGAGAGCTACTGCGATTCCACCCCAGCATGTGCTCTCTGAGGCGCAAGTGCTCAGTACTTAGCAAATCCTGGGTGTGGGGTGAGATCAAGGGGTTCCAGTCACAGAGGGAAGAGAATAGGGGCCCTTGGGCAAGAGTGAGCTTGGCACATCCAGTGAGCTCTCCATGTGGCCAGGCATGGGCACACAGAGATAAGGGATGAAAGGTGGCCTTAAAGAAGTTGAGTGGGGCTGGGCTGTGGCACCGAGACTTCATGTCGAAGCCACCAGGAGCTAGGGGAGTCACCTAAGTAGATTGTCGTTGCACAGCGTACATTTGTATGTCGCTTGAGAGGGAGTATAGAGTGATGCTGCTAACCATGCTGGTGTCCTTGGGAAGAGTGCTTTGGAACCACGCTCCTAGAAAGGTGGTGGTCCCCAGACTGGCCCACAGATGAGTTTCCTACTTCCCATGGGAAGCTGGCACCCATGGCCCAAACAACCCCGGCCAAACCAGATTTAAAGAGCCACTCAAAACCCCTAGGGCCATGTGCACTAAGTCTCCAGAGTGAAAATCCCCTCTGACGTCACAAAGTCCTGGCTGTGCACTGAGCGTTCAGTGTTGCACTGGGGAGAGGGTTCCCCAGTAGCTTTGCAGACAGCCTGCTCTGTCCCCCTAGGCACTTTGGTGGGCCACCAGCCCTGATGAGATTTCATGAGTCTTTTTTCTCTTTGATCATAACCTTGCAAGGTGGGATTACTGGTTCCATTCTACAGGAGGGTAAATTGAAGCTCTGAGTGAATAAACTTCTCCGAGATCACATATGGATTGTGTAGCAGAGCCAGGAACGTGGGTAGAAAGAGGAAAGTGGGCTCGTCCCAGCCTGTCTCTTTTCCAAATCCAAGTGGTTTGAAGAGTTAAACTCCTAAGGATCTTTAATTGAAATGGGCTGTTCACTATCCATGACTTTTGGGGATCAACTTTAGTCACTTAGAAATTTATGAGGATTTTGCATTTTTATGTCTTTGTTTTCATGATTATCTAAAGAAACTTAATAGGCACATGTTGTGTGTCACCTGGAGACAAGTGACGATGTGCCACCAGACCGCCAGCACTAGAGCTTGTGCTTGAGGTTGCCCTGCCCGGCGATCACCTAGTAAGGTTCACGAACTCAGATGTCCACAGGGACCAGGAGTGAAATAGATGATGGGGCCCCCGCAAGCCAGGGAGCACAGCCCTGGCTAAAGGCAGGCTCCCCTCAGCCCCAGCCAACCGTCGCTAAGCTGGAAAGTGGGCCCAGAGTTCCTAGACTGTGTCATTTTTCATGAGAAGCTGTAAGTCTCCTGATTTCTAAATGTCAGCACATATGTCAGATTTTTCCAAAGGACTGTGCAGGCCAAATAAACCCATTTGCGGTATGGCTTTGCCCCCTTCTAACCTAAAGTGGCACTGCTTGACAGCTATTAGGGTGTTTCTCAAGCTGAGGTCCATGGAACCCTTGAGAGGAACTGTGGGTCTCACTTTTGAGAAATGCTCCTGGCAATGAGATTCTGAGTGAGAAAGTGTGGAAGGTGGATTGGAGAGAGAGACAGCATGAGGGGGGCCGTGCGGAGAGGAGGGGATGATGATGTCTAAGGATAGCCATCAGAGAGGACCCGGACATAGCTACACATTTCTGTATGTCAGTGGAGATGCCTCACACACATTATTTCTGAAATGGCCTAACAGTGCCTCACATTTATATAACATACAGTTTTCTAAGCCTTTGCATAATTGTTTCTTCCACCAGCCCTGTAGCTTGGCAGGCTGGGTTTGCACACAGACCTGGGAAGTGCAGATCCAGTGGCCAGAGAAAGCTGGACCCAGGGTCACCTCTTAGGCCCCCTGAGCACTGTACAGTGCCCCTCCATGCCACGGCCCGCAGATGCCCAGTAGCACAGAGTGCCTGGTTTGCCATGTGCATTTTTGTGACTGTCCTCAACATTTAGTACCTGGGTAGGGCATTTTCCAGTAACTTAGTAAACTGCCCTCTGAATTAAGTCCATCTTTATGGCCAAGAGGCTGAAGTTCAGAGAGATTAAGGACTTCCAGTGGGCGACAGTACCAAGTTCAAAGACCATTCCTGACTGTAGGGCCAGGGAATATCTCACTATACACAGCTACCTCATATTACTATGAGCTAAGTACAACTTTGAAGCTATCTAGTAATTTTAAGGTTAATTTGGTTACACATATACCATCATACCGGTGAGCCAATGGGGTGTGCCTAATTATCTCTGAATGAGAATTTACAGGGGAATTTGGTTTGGGGTTTGCAGGCACATTAAATTCTTACTTAAAAAAAAGATCTTAATCTACCATTTGATACAGATTTCCTAGTGCAATAAAAATGAATGATTTTATTTCGACAGATGGAAAAAAATGTGTTTTCTTTTTATAGCACATTTTTGCACTTTTTCAGTTTGACTACTATATTGCTGGATTTGCAATGTGTACCCCAGCCCCTCCAGCACTGGCGCAGGCAGCAGGGGTCTTCTTGTATGTGAGGCCCCTCAGGCTCAGGCCAAGGGTCAGGAGAGGATGGCAGCCTCAGTGTAAAAGCTTATGGTGGGTGGAAGGGTGGCGGAGGGGTGGCCCCAAGACCCTTCCTCTTAGCTGCTCCCATTTCAGACTCCTGCCTTGAGACACCTGCCCTGATGCAGCGAGATCTCTCCTGAGCCTCCTGTTACAAGTAATTTATGCTTAAAGGACCTAGAATTTAAGAGTTGAGAGAACTTCAGCAAGTCACTCTCTCCTCTCCTCTGTCAAACAGGGCTCCTGGGAGCAGGGGTGAGGTTTCTGTTAGGTCAGGGGTACCTGGGGCCAGAATTCCTCTTCACTCTTCCTCCATCCAAATAGGAGCAAATAAGGTAAATTTCCTTTGGAACTCAGACGCTCTCGTCCTGTGTGCATATCCTCTTGTCTTAGTACTTCAATAATGGTGCACTTATTTAGTAATTTAGAATTTATAGGGGACTTTCATATACTAGATTTCATTTGCATTCAGCAGAGATGATACTTAAGGAAAATGTTTTTAAAATAATGACTTGACTGTAGTAGCATTTACCGTCTTTTTTCCTTTCATTTTTTTTAAGGCATTTTCTGCACTGGATAAAGAGGACACAGGATTTATAAAGGCTACAGAATTTGGACAAGTTATTAAGGATTTCTGCTACAAAATCACAGATAGTCAGTATAATTATTTTTTGAGGAAACTAAGAATTCATCTGATTCCTGATATAAATTGGAAATATTTCCTCCAGAACTTCAGCTCTTTCCTTGAGGAGGTAAGGATGTCTGCAGCACATAAGTGTCTCTGTGAAAATGAGCTAAAATTAGTTTTTGCAAAATGGATAATTGATTTAAACCACATCAGATAAATTGCCAGTCATCTCATGTAATTAGCTCATTCTTAACGAAAAATGGGTATAGATTCTACATGGAGTATTAGAAAGTGAATATGTAGCCTTTACTTTGTTAAAAAGTTTTTATTTTATTTTAACTTTCAAAGAAGTTTTAGAGCTTGCTTTTATCTGGTTGTTTTAGAGTGCTAAGTAATCTTAGATCCCAGAAGATGAGCCGGAAAATGAAATTACCAGAGCAAACAGCAGGACCATTTTTAAGGTTTTAGGTTAATAATAACAATAGCAGCAAACACTATGGAGCAAGCACTTTCTGTGGGCAGCCACTGTTTTCAGTCCTGTGTGTACACATTGGCTTGTGTAATCCTGTTGCAGTCACCACGAGGTCTGAGCTGTCCATGTCCCCAGTTGAGAGATGAGGCGGCTGGCCCAGAGACATCAAGTCCTGTCCCAGCCACCTCGCTAGTGTAGGGATAGCTGGCTAGCTCCTCGTGCTGGGCTCCTGAACACTGTGCTTTTTCTGAATTTTTCTTATCTTCGCCACTTAGATGGATGTTCCCAAACAATATATTCTATTATATAGCATGCTTTGAAACATTATATAAATGGTATTATATTGAATGTTGTCTTCTGTACTTATTTTGTTCTTAATATTACAAATATGAGATTTATTCTTGTCAATACATTGGCTTTAGTTCATTCACTTAAGCTGCTATAGAAATAGTCTTAAATGAATATATTCTTTTGAATGAACACGCTGCCATTCAGTTATCATCCTCCTGTTAATGAACATGTAGGTTGTTCTCAATTTCCTCCACCACAAGCAAAGCACCAGTCAGCCTTCTGTGCCTGTCTCCTTGTGCGCGCACGCAGGAGCTGCTCTGTGTGCAGTTGCTGGCTGGAGGGCAGCCCCGTGTTCAGTGTACCCAGGCACTAGCCAGGGTTCTCCTAAGTGGCTGTACCAGTGTGCACTCCCACCAGCGGTACCTGAGCTCCTGGCGCTCCACATCCTCTAACCCTCGATAATTTCCTCTGATCCGATTATGAGTAAGGTAGACGCTTGTGCTTGTGGTCAGCCATTCAGGTTTCTTTTTTTTTTTTTTTTTTTTTTTTTTTTGAGACAGAGTCTCGATTTGTTGCCCAGGCTAGAGTGAGTGCCATGGCGTCAGCCTAGCTCACAGCAACCTCAAACTCCGGGGCTCAAGCAATCCTCCTGCCTCAGCCTCCCGAGTAGCTGGGACTACAGGCATTCGCCACCATGCCCGGCTAATTTTTTCTATATATATTAGTTGGCCAATTAATTTCTTTCTATTTATAGTAGAGACGGGGTCTCGCTCTTGCTCAGGCTGGTTTCTAACTCCTGACCTCGAGCAATCCGCCCGCCTCGGCCTCCCAGAGTGCTAGGATTACAGGCGTGAGCCACCGCGCCCGGCCTAGCCATTCAGGTTTCTTCATCTGCAAACTACCTGCAAGGATTCCAGTCGGTCCGTTGCTGGCATGTGGGTTGCAGATAACCTTCTGCTGGTCTGTGACTTGTCTTTGCTCTTTGCTTACGGTGACTCTCAGTACTTTTAATGATTATGCTTTTTGTGATTTTTAAAAGAAATATATATTCATTGTAGAAATTTGGGGAAATGCAGCAAAATATAAAAACAAAAGTAGGAATCTAAACCCCACGATGATGGTATGATGATAAGAACACCCTTGACCACTATTTAGTGAGCACCTGCTAAGCTCTGGGCCCTCCATGAACACTTTCTCATCTTGCTGTCCACAATGAGGAAGGTGGAACACAGACTCCCAGCAGTCCCGTGGCCACCTCAGCAGGGAGTGGCCATCCAGGTGGTTCAGATTTAGAGCCAAAATTCTGGGTGCCACACTAACTTGGAGATCATTTTTTTCCCATTTTTAATGCACTTTTTAAATATATGATCACGTACCTTGCTTTTTTTCACTTAACACGAAGTTGCGCCATGTCACTTAAAGGTTTTTCAAACTTCACTTAAAAATGTCTATACAACATTCCATCAACTCCCTTATTTTTAAGCATTTAGATTTTTTCCAGCTTTTGCCACTGTGATTTACTGTACAGTGAACACTTTGTATGAAAATCTACATACACGTTTTGGATTCTCTTTTTAGGAAAGAATCCAATAAATAAAATAATGGGGGTCAAAGGATAGGAATAGTTTTATTGATCTCAAAAGAAGCCCCTTGTATATTATTTTAAATAATTCTTTTTACTAGGGTTGAATCATATGAAATTACCATTTTTAAAGTCATAGATGATTGAGTATTGATAATTTTGTAAGTTGAAGCTAATATTCATAGAAGTTATATCCATCATACACTGTTTGGAATATACTGATACTTTTGAAGAAAGTAATTAAAATCACCCCTAGGGACAACTAATATGAATGTTTTGGTATATTTACATCCAGTCCCTTTTCTGTACAAACATCTTTGGGAGTGGGGCCAAAGCAGACTGTATCTGCTGTTGAGTTTGGGGGTTGTATTCTGGACTCTTGCAAGTTTGTCTTAACAAACATTTTTTGTTGATATCAAAATAAGATATGCCCCTGTAGAAATAAAATTGAATTGTTGCAACAGATTTAAAAGCAGAGATCACTTGACTCACTGTTCAGCCCCAGTCCTGCTCCCCAAAAGTGACACTATTGCTTTTGCTGTTGCTTTAGCTGCCCCCAGGCAGTCTCTCAGCGGTACCCTTACCCCTGCGGTGCCCGAGTGGTCCGTGCCAGGCCTTGTGCACTGACCGGCCATGCAGCACACGAGGATCAGGCCTTCTCTTTCCTGCTGTGTGGAAGTTTGGAGTCCCTGGCCGGCTCTCCTCTACCTTTTCACTTACTGTCACAGCACCAGCACTCTCTAGGCTCTGGATTTTCATCTGCAGCATGGATTTCATTTGGCACGTGCCATTCCATTGTGTGGATTCATTCACTGTCTCTGTGAATACGTACTTCCTATGGGCTCATGTGTACCAGGCACTGAGCTAGGTGCCAGGCTTAGCAGCGAGCGAAACGGACGCAGTCCCTGCCTTGTAGGAGCCTCCATTCTAGCCAGGGACCACGAGCAAGTGCCTAGATCTCATGTCAGGGAATAGCACATGCTGTGAGAAGAGGAAGCAGAGCGAAGGGAGGACCTGAGAACGTGACGTCTGAGCTGAGACCATGGAGGTGAAGGAGTAAGTGCAGTGACAGAGAGGAGGGACCTCAGGCACAGCCCATGTGACGGCTTGGGCAAGAAGGAAGCAAGGAACCGTGCGTTTGAGGGGCACAGGGGCAGCGGCGAGGGGGCTGTAGGGCAGGCAGAGGTGCAGCTGGGTGGCCCGGCGTCCTCATAAAGACTTTGGCTTTGTCTCTGGGTCTGCTCAGGGGCCCTTAGCGAAAGTCCTTCAAAGGACCCGTGGATGGAGGAGGCTGTGCTCAAACCTCTGCAGTCTACTGTCCTGCTTGGGGTGGCCAGACCATCCCGCAAGTGAACCACAGGGGGCCTCCACCGACTCTGGAATTAAGCATTTAAAGCTGTCCCTATTGCCAGCTTGCTTCCCCTAGCGTTGCTTAGCTCTACCTGATTGCCTTCACAAAGAGTGGCTTTCACCTCTGGAAGCACTTTGCTCGGCATCCTTGTGAGAAGGTTTAGTGTTAGTTGTGAAAAGAGTGATGAGGATAAATGTGCTCTGAGACAGAAGTGACTGTGATGGGCTGGGGACCGGGCCACAGAGGTAGCACCATCCTCGAGGTGCCTCTGCAGTGCCACCTCCCGCTCGACCTGGTCAGTGTGCAGTCAGCGCTCTGGGAGTGCGATCCTGTTGACCCCCTGAGTTGGCCTAGGAGGATGTGGGGCACCTGCCCAGTGTCTGAGCCGAGGCGAACCGGAGGAGTGTGCATTTACCAGGAGGGCAAGCTGAGCAAGGGACTTCTGGGCTGGAAGGACAGAGTGAGACCGTGAGAGCATGAAATGGCAGGGTGAAGGGTGACTGTGCAGCTCTGGTCATGGCGAATTGCAGGGGAGGCAAGGGCTTTCTTTTGTTCTGTTTATCTGCCGTTGGGGGCAAGAGGTGTGGTGGGGACAGACCACCAGGGTAGGTCCCTTCCTCTGAGCAGAGAAGCATGGGTGACTCCTGAGCGCGGGAGTGGGCCAGCTACTCCAGGGCGCCAAAGGTAGGGAGGCCAGGGAAGAACTGAGACTGTGCTCACCGAGAGGACTTCTAACATCTAATCCCAGCGTGTTCTTTCTTTAATAGAAGGGAAAGAAGTAACAAATAATAGGAGTAGTTAATGCATCATCCTTAAGCTCATTAAATATGATACCAGTCATCCTTTTCCTCGAGGGGATGCACAGGAAGCAAGTAATTAAAAGGAGATTACCAAAATGTAATTAAGACAGTCGGCACCTCTCCTCACAAAGCAAGTTCACTGTGAACAATCGCCAGCCACACCGAATCTGCTTTTGGAAAAGGAAAAACTGGAATTGTAGTTAGGCCACCACGTGAGACCTTGAGTAGACTGAAAGTACATAGAGAGTAAAGGTGACAATTTTACACGATCTGAGCTCTTCTCACAGCAGATGCCGCCTGCTTCCTGCCCCCCCCCCTTGCAACTTTACCGCGTGCTCGGCTCCCTCTTGCTCCTTCTGCTGCTTTGTTGAGCACCACTAAAACCAGACAGTGCTTCTCCAAGTGCAGGTCACAGGCCACTGGCCAGCATAGATCAGCCCACTGTGCGGCGCAGGGTCAGTCCGTGGGCAGGCCCAAGCGTCCGCCGTGCAGCAGGCGCGGTGTTATCCTTGTGCACGCCACCCTCCCCCTGAGAACAGCCCCCCCAGGCGCAGAGGTCTGCGAGCTGATGGGGATGCAGAGCACCGCAGTCTTCCCAGGTAGCATGGCACTTGTTCCTGCACCTGGG